TCTTTTATTTCTTTATTTCCTTCCCCCTACTTCTTTTTTTTTTTGGAGACAGGCTGACCTGGAACTCATAATCCTCCTTAGCCTTCCAAGTGCTGGAATTATAGGTGTGAACCACCATGCCCAGCTATATTATTTTTCTCTTTCTCTTTTCTCTTCTTTTATTTATTTATTTTTTTTCTGACTGCTTAGGATTAAACCCAGGGCCTCACAGATGCTAGGCCAGTGCTCTATCACTTGAGCCACACCTACAGTGCCTTTTGCTTTTGAGATAGGATCTCACTAACTTTGCTGTGGCTGGCCTCAAACTTGGAATCCGCCTGTCTCTGCCTCTTGAGTAGCAGGGATTATACAAGTGCACCACCATACCTGTCTAAATTTTCCTTATTCTAACCTGTCACCAAATTTTTATCCCTTTAAAATGCTGAATTACCTTTCCCTACTACTACCAGGTGCCAGTCAAGGTACCACCCTCTTGACACCTAGATAACCGCATCTGCCTCCATCCTTCCAGGCTCTCTACAAGTCAGCCCTACTGGGGGAGAAGCTTTCAAATATGAAATTGAATTTATGATATTCACCTACTCAGAAGCCTATAATAAATTCCTAGTATATAGACTATGGGGGGTAAACTCCTCTCCCTGACTTCTGTCATCTGACCTTACCTGTCTACACCAGCCCAAACTACGATGATTGTTCAGCTCCTCACTGAGAGGGGACTTCTCTTTCCTGTCTTGTTCCTTCCACCCTCATCTCCTTCCTTTCTTGTCACCACATTAAAATCCTACAGGTCCTTAAAGGGCTCTTCCTCCAAAGCCCAGCTCCTTGCTAAAGCTTCCCTTACCTTCCTTCTTCAGTCCTCCCCCACCTGTTCTCTCCTCTGGGTTCCTTGTGTAGCCATGTGCTCCCTGGCACCAGTCATTATCCCCATGACACTGCTACACTCAACTCCACTGTAACAGCATCAGTGAGCGTTTATTGAACACTTACTGCAGTTTGAAACACTGTGCATGCATGAAAGGTCATGCAAATGTTCTTTCTTCAGCCATCAAATAAAGGAGTTGAATTTGATAAGGATCCCTTCCAGTTCTACGTTTATTAATACCCATCCAATCCAGAAATTTAACTTAAAGTTAACTCAAGGTTTTCAGGTGAGGAAACATTCCCATTTCCTTGAAAGGGAAAATTTCCAAGGAAAAAGTTGGTCACCAGGTCAATTTCCCAGCATAACCGTCTCTTGCCACTGACCATCCACCATGGATGGATGCCTATGTCAGAGGCAGGCACAGGTGTGGGGGCATCTGTGATTTGGTCTACAGCTTAAACAGGGAGATCCACTCCAAATCCTCAATTAACTTAGTATCAGATTGCAACCCCTCCCCTATCCCCACCACCATTTAAAAAAAAATCTTTCAAATTGAGAACAGAACAATTGCAACATTCTGCTGTTTGCACGATTTCAAAGGGCAGCCAAGAACTGGTCTGAGAAGCTTGGTTGTAGACAACTGAAGCCACGCACAGGCATCTTCCTGAGGCTCAGTACCCCATTAGCACAAGGAAAATTCTCCCCCCTTCCTCCCAGAACCTTTGATAAGGCAAGGCCTGGTACAGGTACAGCACTATCTAGGCAGGCGCAGGTGACTGGAAGTTGAGCCTTGGCAGAAAGGGGGCCAGATCCAGCCGGTAAAGCAACACTACTATGGAAGGCCAACGAGCTAAGCATTTGTTGAGATGACCTAAACAAGGTATAGATTTTTAGAACACCAACTAGGGAGGGGTGAATGTCTGACTCTGCCACAGGCCAGGGTCCCTAGTTGCTGGAAGAAAATATCCGAGGCAGGTACCAGGCTTGGGCGGGAAATAGAAACACCCTTGGGGATCCCTTTGCAAACGCCTCCAGGGGTTCACCTCCGGGCCTCTTCCCGTAGACTGCACCTGGTCGGCTCCTGCTGCCCACACGCCCACCTGCGAAGAAACTGAGACGCAAACTTCCCAGCCTCGGAACCCCAGCTGCTTGGAGATCTGCGTGGATTGCTGCTTAGCTGTGCGGGTCTCCACGAAGAGACGCGTATTCAAGCTCCCGCCCCGCGCCGGGGTGAAAGTTGCTCCCAATTCACAGCTCCCCCATCTTCGCCCCCAGGCGGGGGACCACATAGGAGTTCGCGGGTCCTCTGAGCACAAAGGAGAGACCATTAAATCTTCCCTCCTGTGTACTTACGCCCCAGCGGATACCTCTTTGAACTGACCCCCGCCCCTGCAGCCCCCCTCCCCTGCGCCTCGCGGTTTGGGGCGCCAGCGCTCCGGGCTCGCTCCCTCCCTCCCGGCTGCGCACTTTTGCCGCGCTTGGTCTTTGATGTCTCTTTACATTATGGCAGAGCAGCCACGCGCTCTTCCCAGGCGCCTGGCTTTGTGTAACGGAACTGACATTTGGCCTTGATACCTGTATCTCTTGGTGATTGCAACAAATTTCTAAAATAAATATTGTACTTTGATCTCCCGGTATTGCATTTTTAATGGACCTCCAAACATTACTTCATTAGGAAGAAGTTTTTCTGGAGCTCGGAGAGCGAAGGGAGGAAGGTTAAAGTGCAATTCCTCCAAGTCTCTTTCCAAACTTCAGCTGGGGCCTGGGAGGGCTGGAATCCTGGTGTTTTCATAAATGTTCAAAGGCAGAGACTGTGAAATATTCCCGAGAGGGCTTACCGTGTGCCCGGCACTGACTGTCCTGAAGACTTTGCATACATGAATGTTTTTAAGTCCACTAGTACTCTACAAAGGGAGCACATTTTACAGATGGGGAAACTGAGGCATAACTTGCTTACCACGATCTTGGGGGGTGGGTTGTAGACTGAGGGACACCTGTCTTCAGAGTCCAAGCTCTTAACCACCAAGCCCTGCTGGTCACTCACGGATGGCGGTTTAAGTGGCTAATAGGGACAGCTCAAAAAGTTTAGCCCTATGTGGAGATGTGAATTGGCTCTTCCTGCTCCAAAAAAGAACCCCATGGAGCTTGCTTACCCAGCCTGACCACCCTCCCTGGAAAGGTGGGTTGCAAAAGCTCAAAGGAGCAGGACAAGAAATAAAAGCTAAGGAACCAGACAGCCTCTGAGGGTGCAGGTATGCACTGGGCCTGGGTGCACCCCAGGGTTCTCTGGCCTGACTTGCATGCGAGCTGTGTTTCCTCCAGTCCCGGGCTTGAGGGCAGGTCTGCCAAGCCCCAGAGCAAATCACTAAGCCCTCTTCTAGAGCACCCCAGCCTCACGTTTAGGAAGAGCCAGACCGCGTGGCGGAGCTGGGAGATGACTGCTCACCATTCCAAGTGTGACACCTCACTGGGAAGGAGGGACTAAGAGTGTGGGGGATGAGAAGATTCTTCTCTTTGGGGCCGCGTGTGGCCCATTAGTCTTCAGTAAGATGCTTCTATTTCCCTAGCGCTCCTGGGCGTAGGAGATAGTGGGTCTCCTTGGTGACATACTGTCACTGTCCTTGATGGAAGCGAGAAGGGCACCAATATACAGCTTAGACTCCGAAACCTGGAGTTTGGCAAACCTCTAGTGCTGTGTTCAAGGACCACTGGGTCCTTGAATATCGGTCCTGGTCGCACTGGGGCTGAGCGAGAGCTGGTTCGACGCTTCCAGACTGGGTGGTGGCCTCAGAGAAGGAAGACCCTGTCCACTGAGACGGGACAAGAGTCAGTGTATTATCAAGCTCACGCAGCCCACTTCGCTATGCAGTTACGAGAGCTATGGCTATGGGGCCTCTCCTGCGGTTTTGGGTCCCCAAGACCCTCACTGAGAAGAGGACCCTGTGGCGCCCAGCCAATCTCTACCTCCCTTCCCTCCCTGCGCTCCTAGGGGAGCGGATCCCAGTGTCGGCAGAGCTGCATAGGACGCACCCTGAGTCCTGATCCCAAGGGAGACAACTGTTCCCGGATGTAGGTGGCCAACAAGGATGCGGGGAAGGGGGAGGAAGACACCCTGGAGAGCCCTTCAGTGGCTCGGAAGAGGCACGCTCAATGTCTGATGAACTTTTGTTCCTTTCCAAAGACAGGAACTGGGGTTTGTATTGACTTTTCTTTCCCTTTAGGGGCCTCCGTGTGATTTATGGTTTGTTGAACCACGATAAAAAAAAAAAAAGGCTTCCTGGACTGTGCCTTACTTTTTCCGAGTCATTTCTCGTAGCTCTGTCCGGTTTGCGGCCGCGCACTCGCTTGGTGTGGCTTAAGGAGACAAGTGACTAGCATCGCTAGGTACTCCTGGGGCCCTCAGTGTCCAGCTCTGCTCTCCTGGGGAGAAAGGGCAGCACGGCACAATTTTTTCCCTCGAGTGTTTACTACATGTTGTTCTGGGGTCCTGCCAAGCTCAGCGCTGGGAATAAGCGTGCCGCCGGTGTTTTTCCCAGGTTCACTGCAAAAGTTGTGGCCTGAGGAAAACTTCCAGGTTGCTAACAGGGAAGTCACCAGAGAGTCGGGTCGCTCGTAAGGGCCGGAGGCCCAGCAGCGTGCGCGCCACCCACCGCCGCCCTGGGCGGCCGCCTGGCCCCGCCCGGGGTCACAGCCCTGTCCACAGCTCCACCGCGGCGGGCGGGGGGACACGCGGCCGACGAAGTGAGGCCGCTCCCACGCCCCGCCCCGCCCCGGGAACTCGCTCTGGTCGGGTCCGCGGTGTGCACGGGCGGGCGGGTGTGTTGTAATGGTGCGGGATGGGTACCAGAAAGAGTTACCCTCATCCCAGCCTCAAAGTACCGCGCTGAAAACTGAAGGCAGATTTTTCTAGAGATAACAAAGACACTTTGTCACTTTGGGCGCTCCCTCGCTGCAAATCTTTAATTGCAAGTGGGAGGCGGGGAGATCGAGTGTCTCCGGCAACCCAAGCGCGAGTCTCCAGGCGGCAAGGCCCCCTTTGATCAGGAAAATCCAATTATTTGTGTATATACATTTCCCACATAGTGATTACTTCATTAATTGTCCCGCCTTTATCTCCTCCCTTCCCATCCCCCCTAATAATCAGTTCTTTTATCCAGACCAACAAACACACCATAGGAGCTTTGTGGATTCAAAGGATTTGCTTTCGCTTCTGAAAGAGCCGCTATTCTTTGATGATTGGGTAGCGGCAAACTTCAAAGCCATAAATCTTCCCTCTGACTGGCTGGCGGCCCAGCAAAGTCCTTATCAAATTCTTGGAGGTGATCCTGAAGCGCTCAGACCGCGCGCGGGGCGAGCGAGCGGGGCGCGGGCGGGGAGGACCGGGAGGCACGCTGGGCGGCCGTTCGTCCTCGCCTTCGGGTGTCCATGCCTCGGCGGCGGCGTCCCGCTCCGCGGCGAGCGGCCTCCAAGCTGTAGCCATGGCCGCCGTGGCCGTCCTCCGGAACGACTCGCTGCAGGCCTTTCTCCAGGTCAGCGCTGGGCCCGGAGGGGGCGGGAGCAGATGGGAAGGAGCTGTGCCCGGATGTCCCCCGGTACTTTATGCACCCTGAATCTCCAAGGACCCCCGCCGGCGGGTGTGGCTGGAGTCTGACCTAGGGGTGCCCACACCACCTTCACACCTAACCTGGGGCATGTGGCCTTTGTGGGAGGGTGGCCTTTGGGAGAGGCACGCATGGATCTAGGAGTTCAGAGGTGCGTGGGTGGCCGAGTAATGGCCCCCGGTCACCCTGCTGCGCCCTCTTGCTGATTTCAGCCTGGGGCGGGTGGAGGAGGAGCTCGAAGGCAGCTAGGAAAAGAAAGCATAAAAGATGCAAGGGCGGGCGGTTGGGCAGCCTGGCTGTGGGTGTCTCCAGACTTGCTGATCTTGGCTCTCGGAGCAACCCTTCGGATTCCTCCGCCTACCCCTTTGGGCCCTCCTTAAAGACTGGGTGGCTTCTCTTTGTACCAAGTAGTTTAACGGAAAGAGCTCGCGCGCCCCGCGTCCAGGTAGCGCAGGCACCAAAAGTTTTGCGGGGCCCGTGGGTGCGTGCGTAGTGTGCGGTGGCGGGGGAGGGACGGCCAGGAGGAGGAGGGGCGGAGGTATAATAGCGGGCGTGGGGGTGGCGGGCCAGCCCAGAGTCCGCGCTTGGAGCGCTAACCTTTTGTGTCTTCTCCGCCCTCCCTCGCCGCCGCCCATGCAGGACCGCACCCCCAGCGCCTCCCCGGACCTGGGCAAGCACTCGCCCCTGGCGCTGTTGGCCGCCACCTGTAGCCGGATCGGCCAGCCCGGCGCGGCGGCGGCTCCGGACTTCCTGCAGGTGCCCTACGACCCAGCGCTGGGCTCGCCCTCCAGGCTCTTCCACCCGTGGACAGCCGACATGCCCGCGCACTCGCCCGGTGCGCTGCCGCCTCCGCACCCGAGCCTGGGGCTGACCCCGCAGAAAACGCACCTGCAGCCGTCTTTCGGAGCTGCGCACGAGCTGCCGCTCACGCCCCCCGCTGACCCCTCCTACCCCTACGAGTTCTCGCCGGTCAAGATGCTGCCCTCGAGCATGGCAGCTCTGCCTGCCAGCTGCGCGCCCGCCTACGTGCCCTACGCCGCTCAGGCCGCGCTGCCACCGGGCTACTCCAACCTGCTGCCCCCGCCTCCGCCACCACCGCCTCCGCCGCCCACCTGCCGCCAGCTGTCCCCCAACCCGGCCCCCGACGACCTCCCGTGGTGGAGCATCCCACAGTCGGGAGCCGGGCCGGGGGTCTCCGGGGTTCCAGGGAGCAGCCTCTCCAGCGCCTGTGCTGGGGGTCCCCACACTCCGCGCTTCCCAGCCTCTGCGGCCGCTGCTGCCGCTGCAGCTGCCGCCCTTCAACGGGGCCTGGTGTTGGGCCCGTCGGACTTTGCGCAGTACCAGAGCCAGATCGCTGCGCTGCTGCAGACCAAGGCCCCCCTGGCGGCCACGGCCAGGAGGTGCCGCCGCTGCCGCTGCCCCAACTGCCAGGCGGCGGGCGGCGCCCCCGAGGCGGAGCCGGGCAAAAAGAAGCAACACGTATGCCACGTGCCGGGCTGCGGCAAGGTGTACGGCAAGACGTCGCACCTGAAGGCGCACCTGCGCTGGCACACGGGCGAGCGGCCCTTCGTGTGCAACTGGCTCTTCTGCGGCAAGAGCTTCACGCGCTCGGACGAGCTGCAGCGGCACCTGCGGACTCACACGGGCGAGAAGCGCTTCGCCTGCCCCGAGTGTGGCAAGCGCTTCATGCGCAGCGACCACCTCGCCAAGCATGTCAAGACGCACCAAAATAAGAAGCTCAAAGTTGCTGAGGCCGGGGTTAAGCGGGAGAACACGCGGGACCTGTGAGCTACCTACACGGGGGCATTCTGGAGGTCACTCCTGCCTTCCCAGCACCTCTGTGGGAGGTCCTGGGAACTTGACACCTCTGGGCAGCTGACAGAGTGGCGACTTAGCAAACAGACTTTCCACTGTCCGCCTCCCAAAGTGGAGGCCTGGCTCCCTGCTTCCTCCGCCCAAGGACAGAGGGAGGAGCAGGAGAGGCCCAGCTGGGAACTGGGGCCCACTGGCCATGGTTGAGAGCCCTGGATTATACCAGGGTAGTTCTAAAGTTCGAATCATTGCCACCGCCCAGGAGACCTACAGTTTGGGGTACCACCTGGGCCTTGTATATATAGGATACGCTGCTGAATAAAAGCGGAAGGACCGTGGGCGATTTGAAACGGTGCTCCAGTTTTGACTAGGGCTGGTTCGGGCTTTGTACAGGTTATTTAAAAATAGCTTTGTTAAAGAATATAATAATTACAACATTAATGTTCGTTTTGTCCTCGGCTCCACGCAGAGCTACAGCATGGTATGTCTCTGTAAAGCGATCAGCAGTTGCAGCGTGAAAATAAATACGTTAACTCCTGGGTCCCCTCGGGAAGACCCCGCAGAGCTGGTCTCGTTTGATCTTTTCTTCCGGAGGCTTTACTAAGAGGTCAGGTTTCACCAGGAATTTGGTGGTTCCAGTGGGCTGCCTGTGGCAGAGGCTTCTTAGCAAAGTGTGTTGGGTGCAAGGTCACTTTTGTGGTAAAAGGTTTACCAATCACACCTTGAGTTTCTCATGCGGCTTTAGGGCTTCACTGTCGCCTTTCTGTTACAAGTTTGATACCTGCTGGCCATACAAGACTAGTTCATTATGTGGCGATTTCCCAGTGGCTTTCCATTTGTTGGAACTGTCAGGATTTCTTCCCGCAGCCTCTGTGCTGGCGTCAGGAGAGGTAGTAGGATCTGTTCACAGGTTCGATTTGGGAAAGTGAAAAGAGAACAAGATCCTGGGGCCCTGTGATGCTTAGTCTTTGCCCCGGAGTTACCAAGAAGATAACTTGTCCTAGGTGTCACTAGTGTATTTCAGCCCCGTCGTGATACGCAATGTCGTCTTGCTTGTTTTCTTCTCTTGTTTTTGCTGTGGAAATCTTGTTTCACGGTAACCACCTAGAGATTTCTGGTTAAGCCAGGGAGTTTAATTTCTTGTTGCATTTTGGGATTTTATTCTGTTGATCACTGAAGTACACAGACTTTTCTCACGAAAGAGCCAGGAATATTCATAGCTTGAAAATGTGGAAACGAGATGTTTTTCTTAAATCTATGTTTCTTGTCTTTCTCTAAATTAAAAAAAAAAGTTTTCAAGTGTGTTTTTCAAGTGTCTCAACTAACTGCGTTTTCTAATTTGAGTTTTTAAACCAGAAACTTAAACCTCAATGGGCAGTTAGATCTTTTTTGATTTAGAATTACCAAAAAAAAAAAGGTTTAAATTATCTTAGTATTTTAAGCTAGCTTCATGAATTCCATATTTCAATGAATAATCTTTTCATGATCCAAGCATATATAGATAATATTGCACAGCCCACAAGTTGTTTTACTTTTTTGTTTAATGTCAGACTGAAGGGTACAGCCTTAGAAACTTAAGAGTTCTTGAAATTTGTGTTAACAACATAATTGGACTGAAAATGACTTTTATATTTCTAAGAAATAGCATTTTACTGTATAAGATGGGATAAGTAGTAAATGACTATCAGATTCTTTGTGGGAGTATAACTTGGGGTTATTTACTCCCTTTAAAAATCTTGGCACTGTTTAATGACAAATTAGAATGTGAATCATCCTGGTTCTTCACCTTGGAAGCAGTTTAAGCTAAATTTTGAAGGGTGTGGCAGTTTTTTGAGCTAAAGTAATAAAGCTGGTAAACAGTAACTAATATGAATCTAAATGTGTACTCTGAATCTAAGACAGTCCTAACTAATTAATAATCTAATCTTGATTTAGATTAAGATGTCTGTAAAAAATCAATGAGTTATAGACACTCCCACACCTCACTGAACCATTTCCTGGTATCAGCTTCAGAATCAGCAAAGAGTTCTTGGCAGGTAATGGGGAAAGAGGAATCCTTGTTTGAGAGTGAAAGATCTAGGGCTTTTTGAAGTGATTGTCTCATGTGGGAGAGTGTCTTTGCTAGAGAAAGAAAAGTGGCAGTTTTTAAATGAGTCTGTAGCTATTTGCAGTTATGATTATTTCATATTCAAACAGATGAAGCTGTCAAAGATCAAGTTCACTCAGGAAAAAAGTAGGTAAAACGTGTGAAATTTAAAATCGACACAGATGAAGTGTTAAAGACAGTTTTCTCTAACTTTGTAGTAAACAGGAAAACTAGATAAAATACATTGAATTTATCAAAATTAAGGTATATGTAATTTTAAAAAGCAGAGCAAAGTCATTTGATGACAAAATTAACTTTATTATGGTTGCACTTAATTGACCCCACAATTTCCAAATATAGTAAAAGTAATCTTTAACTTGGTACAGTTGAAGTCAATTATTGAAGAAAAATTTGTTATTATTGGAGTGGAATTCAGGAAGCTATAATATGATATTCGCAAAGTGCAGGAGGGCATTTCATGATTATACTGAAAAATGAGCCAATAACTGCTCTAAAATACAAGGCAGAAATGTGTTGAGTTACAGCTGTTAAAATTTGAAGTGCTGCTGTATGTTTTGTTTCATAATACCGTAAACAGAGTACCATTTAGGATGTTAAAATACACCAATAGAATAATATGCATAACTTATGTACAAATTAAGCACATTTATTATACTAGAAAATTTAACAAAATTCAAAAGAGAAGTTTAAAAGCAAACTACTATTAAATATAAACAAAATTTATTTTTAATTGGAGTTTGCCAACATCAAAAAAGTGAGTTTAATCCACCAATTTCATCCAAGGCTTTCCTTAAAGACCACAGTACACAATTCAATTAAAATTAAATTGAATTATATAATTAATTATTTAATTATACACAATTAATTGAATATGTTAATGATTGCCTCAAATGTTACTGGACTTTGTAGATTTTTTAATGCAACTTTTGGTAGCATGCAGATAGGAAGTATTCTACTTCAGAAAATTCAAAATTGGTGATATTTTCAATTTTACACTAAATGGATAAATGAACAACCATTTTAGTCAAGAGCTTGAAAACAGAGAAATCGAGTTTTGTGCACATTAACTAATTTGGAATTGTGTTTCTGAACTGACTAACATTGTGCTTTTCTGCTTTTTTTTCAAGGGAAAATTGTACAAATATATCCTTAGCTGATCATTCATTTTTAGTAGTCCTGATAATGACTGAAAATAAATTATGCTAAAGAAAATACAATTATGTTACTAACATCCATGTTAATCTTTTCTAGACTTAGCTAGTGTTTAAATCTTATGTTACACATACCGTCTTAAGTTACTTGGCCTTAAGTCAAATAAGACAAACCAATTAAAAAATTAATCTTGTGGAGTGATACAGAAACCAATCGCAAACAATGGTATATCATAGAAAAGGTAGATTTTTTTACCCTAATTTGTCCTGGGTTCCGTCCTAATACTTTAGGTTTCAAATAATCAGTTTAAAATAAATTGTCCGTTTATTTTGGATAATTTTGCATGATTGAGAATTTCACAGAATGTTACTAGAGCAGTAGCTATGACTTCAACTTCATAGCAACACCTCTATGTATGACTCTTGTGAAACTCTCAAAATGTAAACTACTTTTTATTTGCATTAGCATATCACATTACATGACAAGGTAAATTGGCAGTATCATATCAGGAAATGCTTTATGTTAAGGAATCAGATTTGAAGTCCCAAGCTTTGATTCATGGTTAATGTAACTATAGGTTGCTACTGTCCCCAACTAAATATTACTCTCCTGGTTTGCCTGACAGAAGGAAACTTTTTCGGGTGGCACTGGAGTTTGAACTCAGGGCTTTGCACTTGCTGGTAAGTGCTCTACCACTTGAGCCATGCCCACAGCTCAGACATTTTTTAAAAGAGTATGTGAAATACTTTGTGCCAACATAATTTGATTAAAGTAGGAAAAGATAAAGTATACATCTAGCTAGGTGCATGTTGATAATGATGTATATATTTAGATTAATACACCAAAGGACATGTTTCATTACTAGGTCATTGTAATGTGATTAATGGGGCACTCAGTACATGTAATTTAAACAGTGAATTTTCTGGTGTAAATCTCCACATTTTTTGCATAAATATCTCGATGTCAATTGCTCTGCTCTTGATTGTTTTTAAAGAATCTGTTGTTACCAGAGGCAACAATGTTTCAAATTCATTAATGGACATTGTATAATAACTTACATAATGTCCCTGCCTATTATAAATAAGTGACATTTGCCCCACAAAGACGTAATCAAACAGTTTTGGCCATGACAGCTGTTTTGTCATCTCACAGTTATTTTACCACACCTTATTGCCACTTGAAGATTTGAACATGTCTGATTGACATAATTTAATGCTGACATTTTAATTACTTCCATTATAGACTATACACTTTTCTTCTAGGTCTTTAGTGCTTATCTAAAGCATAATTCCTAGTGGGATATTTGACTTAATTTATAATTTAGTCCATGTATGTGAACTGCAGTAGTTTCTTCACAACACATAATAATCTACATTAATACGTTTTGGTTTTCTATCTAGTATCAAATTTCAATCCAGGGAAAATAAATCCTGTTGTTAGTATGATAACACATGGAAAATCTGCAGTTCACTTTCTAGTAAGTTGTTTCAGCACTCTGAAGATTGAGTCTGCATATTAAGAGGTGGAAGTTTGATAGTAAAACTATTCATGTAATTTTTCTTACTAGTCAAAAATACACTAAAATTGTCTAAGGTCTAAAGTGGTGTCTCCATGTCATCTGATTTTTTAAAACATAAAGTTAAACTGTTCAGTCATACAGGTACTTTCTAAAGATTTTATGTTTAACATAATCTAAAACACAGATTGGAAACATCTGGCCCTCAGGTTAATTTCATCCAATTCACAAGGCAAGTTTCGGGGCTAACTTCTCTGTGCTTATGCTTGGGTGGGGAGTGTGCCTTTATTTTGAAAGCATTTGGTAACAGTTTCCAAAAAGTCTATATAGATACCGTGAGAGTTTATTTCTCTTTTTCTGTAAGTTTTATTCTCACTCTAGGTATTGTTTGCTTTTTCCATTCTGTACATCTTTTGAGGATGTCATACTTCTCTATATCCATACGCATCTGTGGTATGAAAGTTTAATTGTCATGTGTCCTTCTTAAAGTATTTATGCACAATTTGATTTGGCTCCCTGTAATACAGAACTCAAAAGTCTCCTAAATCTTTTGCTCTTTTTTTTTTCCACTAGTAGGAATTGAACTCAAGGCACCATGTATGGTAGGCAATGAGCCTCATCCCTAGCCCTTTATTTTTATTTTGAGACAGGCTCTCACTAAGTTGGCTGGCCTTGAACTTTCAATCCTCCTGCCTCAGCCTCCTGAGTAGCCAGGACTATAGTCCTGTGCCACCACAACTGGCTAAATCTATTGTAGTATTAGTAGACATTTGTATTCCTTGATC